CTGGGCTCCGGTGATCTTTCCACCTCAGCTTCCAAGTAGCTGGAACTACAGGCGCACATACCATGCCCAGCTAGTTTTTTTTGTTTTTGTTTTTAATTTTTATTGTAGAGTATGAGGTCTCACCAAGTTGCCTGGGCGGGTCTCAAACCCACGGGCTCAGGCAGTCCACTCACCTTGGCCTCCCAAAGCGCTGGGATTACAAGCTAAGCCATCGATCCCTTTTTTTCCCATAATATCTGGAATAAACCCCTGTAAAAATTACTAAGAAAAGGGATCAGTTTGTTATTTTCATCATTTTGTCATTGAGTTTCCATGTAGCTCAATAACAGAGACAGCCCAATTAAATATGAAGAATCTGAATAGATATCTATCCAAGGAAGATACACAAATGGTAAAAAAGAAAAAAGAAAAAAAAAAGTTAAAAAAAAAAGATACAAATCAGGAAACTGCCCAAGTCAAAACCACAATGAGCCTGCCACTTCACACCAATTAGGATGGTTAAAATTCAAAGGTCAATGGTGTTCGTGAGAAAGTGGAGGAACTGCTCACAAAACAGTCTGGCAGTTTCTCAAAGAGTTACCACTGTAGAACTGGCAATTCCACTCCAGGGTACATATCCAAGAGGAATCAAAACATGTCCACACAAAATCAGTACACAACTTTTATAGTAAGATTCTTCATAACAGCCAAAAAGCAGAAACAACCCAAATGTCATCAGCAGGTGAATGTGTAAACAGTGGTCTGTCCATACGATGGAATAGCGTTCAGCCATGAAAGGAATGAAATATACCTGGTACAAGGTTGATGAGCCTTGAAAACATGCTAAAGGAAAGCCAGTCACAAGAGTCTACGCACTACGACTTCATTCATGAAAGTTCAGAGTAGGAAAAGCAATAGAGAAAGGAGATCAGCAGTTGTTTAGGGCTGGGATAGGGAAGATGGGATTAGGCGGGTGAAAGTTAAAAGGGTCCAGTGTTTGTGAGATAGAAGTTCTAAAATTGGTGACAGTTCTACCTGGCAGAATATACTAAAAGCCACTGAATGGTGAAAGGAGGTAACTATAGAAACCTAGAATAAGCAGTTTAGTCTTTTTGCCTCAGCATAGCCATTTTTGCTTAGACTTGACCCTGACACGCTTTGGATCTAGCACAGGTTAGACATAGATAAGACAAATTGCCAATTGACAGGGTTTTAGGAAGCGTTCAGACATGTACTGCAGGCCAAGCTGGCGACTTACCCCACCTCGGCAAAACCAGGACTGCCCGACCTTTCAATTCATGGTTTAGCATAATAATCTAGGCATCTTCAGGTTCTTTGTCAAGGCCAAAGATCAAAGATCACCCCGTAGCTGACTGAAGTCATAGAAATGATAAGACCACCCTTTTGCTAAGGAGTTTGTGAATTGCAAACATCTGACAGGTCTCTTGCAGGAAAACCCCCTCCCCTTGTCTGCCCCCATCTAGCCCACCACCATGGCAGCAATCATGACTAACCCACCCATCTGCTGTCCATCACCTGACTTCAGTACCTGTGCTTACCTGTTCCTTCGTGATGACACGAAGCAGACCATCCCCCAATCACCTTAATAACCTTCCCCCGTCAAAGGTTAAAAGGACGCAACAATGAGCAGTCATTTGCCATTGCCTTGCTAGACTCTGGTGTGACCGTGTGCTCTTTGAGCTATGGCTGTCGCCATGTTTCCTGGCTTTGGCCCCCTCCCCTACCTTGGGGAGGTATATCTCCTTTCTCTCTCATTTAGTTTTTTTTTTTTTTTTGAGGTGGAGTCTCACTCGGTTGCCCAGACTGGAGTGAAGTGGCCGCTCCCAGCCACCGCATCCTCGACCTGCTGGGCTCCGGCGATCCTTCCGCCTCAGCCTTCCAAGTAGCTGGAACTACAGGCGCGCGCTACCATGCCCGGCTGATTTTTTGATTTACTGTAGAGATGAGGTCTCGCTGCCCAGGCGGGTTTCAAACCAGCGGACTCAGGCAATCCACTCACCTCAGCCTCCCAAAGCACGGGATTACAGACTGAGCCCGGCTCCTCTCTCATTTAATTTTTAGTAAACTATATTTTCTATCTAACTTCTGTGCAGTTCTTTGCATCTTAATGGGACATCGGATTGCACCCCAGACACCCACGCCCCCAGCAGACCCTACCTAACATTCTGGAGGCCCCACTGGGAGTGTGACTCTAACAAATGGTTTGCTCTGGAAATTTTTTTTTTAGTTGGAGTCTCACTTTGTCGCCCAGGTTGGAGTATAGTGGCACACTCATGGGCACCGCAGCCTCGACCTGCTGGACTTGGGTGATCCTTCTGCCTCAGCCTTCCAAGTAGCTGGAACCACAGGCGCGTGCCACCACACCTGGCTCATTTTCTGATTTATTGTAGAGACAAGGTTTCACCAAGTTGCCCAGGCTAGTCTCAAACCCCTGAGCTCAGGCAATCTTCTCGTCTTGGCCTCCCTTTTTTTGTTTTTCTGGGGTTTTCTTGAGTCAGAGTCTTACTCTGTCACCCAGGCTGGAGTGCGGTAGCATGCTCACCGCTACTGTAGCCTCGATTGCTGGGCTTCAGTGATCCTTCCGCCTCAGCCTTCCAAGTAGCTAGAGCCACAGGTGTGCACCATCACTCCCAGCTAATTATTTGAATTATCGTAGAGACAAGGGCTCACCAAATTGGCCAGGCTGGTCTCGAACCCGTGGGCTCAGGCGATCCTCTTGCCTCAGCCTCCCTAGGTGCTGGGATTACAGACTTGAGCCACCGCACACAGCCTGGAAATTATATTTTATTTATTTATTTTTGAGTTGGAGTCTCACTCTGTCGCCCAGACTGGAGTGCCGTGGCCACTCCCGGCCACCGCAGCCTCAACCTGCTGGGCCCTGGCGATCCTTCTGCCTCAGCCTTCCGAGTAGCTGAAACTATAGGCGTGCGCTACCATGCCTGGCTAATTTTTGATTTACTGTAAAGATGAGGTCTTGCCAAGTTGCCCAGGCGGGTCTCGAACCCACGGGCTCAGGCAATCCACTCACCTCAGCCTCCCAAAGGCGCGGGATTACAGGCTGAGTCACCGACCCGGCTGGAAATTATATATATATATATTTTTTTGTTTGTTTGTTTGTTTGTTTGTTTGTTTGTTTGTTTTTGTTTTTGAGATGGAGTCTCAATCGGTCGCCCAGACTGGAGGGCAGTGGCTGCTCCCGGCCACCGCAGCCTCGCCTGCTGGGCTCCGGCAATCCTTTCGCCTCAGCCT